ATCCCTTCATCGGAAGAGTTTTCGACACCAACTACTAAATAGCTGGGTCTAGGACAACTGATGACCAACTGATGACAGGTTGACAAATCAAGAGGCCGGGTCTCTGATCGATCTGAAATCCTTAACCTTTGCTAAAGGTTGCCATGCTAATGAAAGGGGAAAAAAAGGCAATGAGAAAAATAAACTCAACAAAATCATCAGCTCTTCCAAGGGCAAGAGTTAAACAACGAATTACGAACCTCTCTATTAAGCAACCCAAATTATTTCTTTCAAGTTTTTCTTTCGTTCTAATCTTGATGGCATTATTACTTATCTATTTCTACTGTGTCGTATATATCTACGTTAGATGTACTTATAAAACTTACTTGTGTGTAAAACATCTCAAGATTTGGCTGAGAGGTCACAAGATTGCCTACAGTCCTCAAGCTCATTCACACTAATGTGATGAATAACTAAAGAGAAGACGTAGTATGAAGTAGTATGAATGCAGCATAGTATGAATGAAGCTAAGCTCGGATCAAAGGAGAAACAAGTCATTTATGTTTACTTATTTTCCCTTCCAAAAACTCCACGCAGTCCAAATGGCGTTACAGCCGCGTGCACAGCGAAGATAAGCACTTAATTGCAAGCTCCTATGAAATACATTTTGGCATTTGATCGATGATATTTAAGCTATAATTTTTAAAATTTAAAAGGTTTATATTTTAGTGATTTCGGGCGCGTTACCTGCTTCAGTAGTCGCGTAAGCATAGTACATGTTTTATCGCGTGAGGTGGCGGTGATTTCCTGCTGGATGTGGGAGATCCGGCGCCTACCTAACTCGGCTTGCGAGGATTTCCCTAACCAGGTATCTCCCATTAGCATGGACCTGCCCCAGCCGGGATCAGCTCCCGATTGGCCTCTAAGCTCCCGACCGGTATCCTGACAAGTCTGGTAGTTTAGGGCATGTGAAGAAAGTGAGGACAAGGAAGAGTAAGGAAAAATCGCGTGTTCCATGGCTTGTTTGTTAAGGTACTGTTCCGGTGTTCGCCTGGTGTTGATGGGAGAATTCACGGAAAACTATCGATCAGAGTAGGCGGCTTCTATAATTCTTCTCCAGACTGAATTCGATCTAGCTACCAAGCTAGTGTTGAAAACCCTGCGACCGTCGGGACTCAAACCTAGGATCTCCCGTTCAGAGGCACTGCCGTGACATCAGTTAACACCCTGAGGCATCGTTGCCGGTAATATTTAAAAGAGATTACTTTTCTGACCTTGCTGATTTTACTATCTCCTTTACGTTCCAACGTACATACGAAGTAATAGATGCAGTATAGAGTAAGTTATTTTGCAGAAATGCTGCGGAAAATAGAAATTGCGTCTGTCTATCCGTCCAAATACCCGTCTGTTCTTCATTTGTGAACAACACTGGCGCCTAAACTATTTGTAGGTTTTTCGCCAAATTGAATATTCCACGAACGGTTTGGCCTGACTGAAAGTCCTGGTATTTTGAAAATAATTCATTTAGTTTTGGAGGTACTTAACATAAAGCCCTGTCCCTGCAGACATTTTTAAAATTTTCCCAAAATTGATTGCTCTTTTTATTCCCTCGTGTACGTACGTTTTTATATAATTAATTTCTCAATATTGGAAACAGATATATCACGGTGGGGGTGCTTAATATCTAACTTATCTTAAATTTACAACTACTCTGGAGTAATATACGTGGTGTTGCAGCTGCGAAATATTGCTTAGATGATAGGGAGAGCATTTGCAGAAACTGCGCCTAGAAGTTTTCCAGGACACATCGCCTTTCTGTGTTCTCGTCAGACGAGAAAATTCTGAAAAGACGACACATAATTAACAAGATTAACACCTTGCCATACGAATCATTAAAAATTAAAGGAATTGTCATGGTTACCATTGACTGGACGAAAATAAGCGTTTTACTTACGGATTCTATTTGTTATTCATGCTATTTTTCGCCGCGTTTCCAAGTGCTGGTTCCCGGAGACTACACATCGTGCTGCCAACGTACAATCCAACTCTCAATGCGCCCAATAAGCGTATTATTTAGCATCTGCGCGTAGCGTCTGTTACGAAGCTGCTCGCGGCTCCAGATTCTCAAGCAATGCGATCTCGTCGCGTCTAATGTGGAAAAAGTGGATTCCGGGAAATTACTACAAAATGCAAGTCTTCGTCGGTGTACGTTGTTAAATACGGTAAATTAGAGATGTTGTATGGTATACAAATTATATTCTGCTAAAGCTCGTTTCGATCGCGTAGCGATCATCCTCAGAACTTGCAGCTTCACGACATATTGATTGACAAGTTGTCATACTTACACATCAATAATTCACTCCAATCATGGATACGCTCATATCTTTCCGGCAGACGTAAGTACGTCGTTATGTTAGTATGTCAACCTACGTCCGAGCCATTTGTAGTTAGTTCCGGTGTACATCAAGGCTCTCATCTGGTGTCCTATTTTGTTTAACATTTTGATTAATGATCTGTCATCTGTTAACAAATGTAGTAAAATCTTATTGTTTGCGGACGATGCCAAAATGTGCGCCAAGATTTCTGATTTTAATGACACCTACCACTTACAGGAAGATTTCTCTAACTTCTCGCAGTAGTGTTCTACAACCAAAATCCACACTCGTAAGTGTTGTGCAATGACCTTTGCCCGAAGACATAACGTCGTGAGCTACCTATATTCTTTAAATAGGTAGTGAATCCTTGAGCATTGTCTCTAACAACAGGGATCTAGGAGTGATTTTTGACTCTAAACTCAATTTTAATATATATATATA